ATGTCAGCGAGGTAATATATCTTCACCTGTTAAAGAAAACAAAAATGGTTTTCACTCTCTATCGTATAACACATTTTTATAAAGATAATTACTGAGAATAGTAGTTAAAATATTACTTCATATGATTGTTATTGTAATATCACCTACCTCGTCTGATGCTCTTGCCATGAACTGTTTCTTTGGCAGGAGTTTCTAGTTAAGAATGCCGATAGAGTTGAACTCATGTCGTTTTTGGGTCTCTTTGGTGCCATTATCAGTGCAATCCAAATGTATCCTTGGTTCCCGGGTTTGATTGCGTTTAATTCAATGATTCCTTACTATTATCGATTTATAGTTTTATGAAATTTCTATGTTTTCAAATTTATGATTTCTCGGTAACATGCATACCATCTGCATAAATGTTAAACAAGTAATAAACCGTCTTGTGATATTAATGCCATCAAAATTTTGTTAAATAGATGAAAACTGTGCAATCCCGGATAACTGTAGATCACTGGTTACATATTTCGTTGCATTAATTTATCATCGATCTGTTACCCTTAATAATGCCCACAGAAGCATAATCGAACGCAATGAACTCAAATCTATTCATTGGACTGCCGGTGCTGTAAGTTTCTTCGAAACCTCCAATCTCCCCACCTTTTTTTTATGTGTGTAAGCTCAAGAGTAACCTTTTTGCTTTTCAGACGTTTCCATTTTTTGGATTTTCGTTGGCTATGTTTCTGTTCTACTCGTTTGTCCCGGTGTTGCTTAAGGTAAGAGCTTATGATTTAAGATTTCGTATTCCTATTTTTGGAACTGTAAAAGTTGGATAGTAGTATTAAAATCCTATGAACATATTCAATCTAATAGTTCTTAACCATCTTTTGAATTTTGGTTTTCTTCCATTGCAGATGACTGGTTCCACAATGCTCAATCTTTCATTGCTTACCTCAGACATGTGGGCTGTCGTAATCCGGATTTTTGCTTATCATGAAAAGGTTGAAAGTCTAAACCTTATTGTTTATTTTCAAAAGTTGAGATTGAATTCAAATCTACGTTTGATCAATTCGGGATCCTTTTTCTAATTCAAGTTAATCCTCTACAGGTTGATTGGATGTACTTTTTAGCCTTTTTTGCAGTAACGGTTGGACTTATAATTTATTCCGGGTAAGTAATTTGCAATCCGAACTCTTCATGTTCCAGCTTTTCGCCCGAGGGGAATTTGATTGTGTTTTCGTTTCGAAGTCATCGGTCTCTCTATGTCATTCTTGTCTGATATGTCGTCCATTTCTTCGTATTTGTCTGAAAATCCATCCATGAATCATGAGAAAGTTTATGCATATTGATTATTGTCTTGTATATTTACGGTTCCTCTTTCGATAGTGGTGACAAGGATGACGATCAAAGCCGAGCTGATGTTGCTGATGAAGCTCCCGAAAGAACCAAGCGTTTAGACGAGGAAGCTGGTTTCAACAACCCCAATCGATCAACTACGGCCGGGACCTCCAAAATGGGGGATACTACGAGCCATGATCTTACGACTAGCTTCGTCGGAAGGGAAATTATCGAGAACAAGAACATCGGAAAAGATGTACAGGGTAAGAAATCATGATATTACTTTCTCCATTTCGATTATAAAAACTATCTACCATAGGACATGTCTAAAAGATTGAACAGATGACAAAGGAATATCAATTTTGGGTTTGATTATGTTGCTAAAAGGCAGGCCATTGACAATAAAATCTTTGGGGTCTTGAAGAAAATTATAAATGTGGTATTGCAGTTTTCATTGAATTTCAGTGCTTTTCCCTGTTAAGTCTTTTTTGTATTACTATCGGTATTCGATTTATTGATCGATTAATTCAAATTAAATAATATGAAATGTTGTCTAAACTCGAAATGATCCAACTCAATCCAACCTGATTGCCACCTCTACTCCATCCTCATCCTTGTCGTTGTCATGTTGGTTGTTGAAGTAAATTATAGTTGATAAGAAAAAGCCATGGTCATTGTTGTCATGAATGACCTAAGCAACCACATTATATATTATTATTAGTGTTACTATATATATTATTTGGTGTTTTTTTTATACAAGAAAGTTTAGGTCAGGGTGGCTCCTCTAGTCCAGGGGTCAGGGCATAATTAAGACCCAATTGAGGTTTATATAGAAATTTACAGATTGCCTACCAAGAGTGACAGTGATAAGATTCAGACATGATCTTACAAGCTTAAATTCTTGAATTTCAATTTGTACCACACGTCGACATTATTTGGTGTCTTTGTTTTATATATAAAACACCTTAAACAATTATGAAATAATTACATCAAATGTTGGGATTTAATTATAAGCGTGTCTAAATATCATAGTATAGTTATATGAAATATAATTATTATCTTAATAATTATGTGAAGAATATAATTATAAAAAATTATAATTCTTTCTTTTGAATTAACTACTAATATTTAATTTATTGATTGATTAATCCTGATTGAATTTTGCAGAGGTTTATTATAGCTGGTGGTACTCTCAACCTAGTTAGTTTCATTCACAATCGTCGATATTTAAACCCCTAATTTTACTTAAGAAATTTAGTATCTCATTTTATCATGCCAACTATTTTTAAAAATAATAAATATTCAGGCCATGCCATAGAAACTTGTATTTTTGTTTCTAAATAAAAAAATAAATAAAATCACTTCATAATATCTTTTACATATAATTTATTTTAAATGAATCTTATTCCAATAAGACGTTTTAGATAATTTTTTTTTGAAAATGATCTTGTTGTGTCTAATTATCAATGCTTACCGTACTGTTTATAAATGACACATTCTCACTTAATCTTATGATGTCTTTATTCGAGATCACTCATAACATGTATGATAAAATGTATAGCGTCATTCTTTGTAAGTTTAAATACCTCTCATCTTTCTTTTTGATGCGGGATAAATGTTCATTTCTCCAATGCATGATATAGAAATAAAGTCGGAGTAGGGGAAATTCTCAACGGATTGAACTGCCGACGGTAATCTTGATGAGGGTAAATAGTGTATTAACGGTACATTGGTAGCTGCTCCATTGGGATTGTCCACGACTATTATTCCCAAGGAGCAGAGGCTGAGTTAACCTAAAAATAAAATATGGAACTCGACTCAAAACCTAATACCTCTTATCATATTAACTATATGGATATTTTATGTTGCATTTTGTCAAATTTAACATTAATACGTTACCATTTAAAAACATTAGCAGATTAGACTTGACCCAATACATAATAAATTTTAAAATCTCTATCAATCATACATCAAACCATTGAAAACAACTCATTGAGTGTGTAGTTTATGTATGGGTATTTTCTGTTTTAATTTTATCAAATTTAACATTAGCACGTTACCTTTAAAAAACATTAGCACATTAACCTTGACTCAATACATAATACCTTACGTATCAAACTAATTATATGGATATATTAGGTTGCATTTTGTCAAATTTAACCTTATCTGAGTGTGCAGTTTTTAGTTAATTATTGAAAATCGCAAGAATAACATATAAGAGTGAGTATTCAATCTAATCAAATTAAAAAAAATTGAGTTGAATTTTTGATTGACTATGTGATGTGGTACCGAAGGAACGTACTCTGCTTGTATATGTTGTGAGTGCAACATTATAGTTCATAAAAGATGTAATCTCTCCGTCTTATTAAATTTGTTTCTTTTATATTTTAAAATTGTCCTATTTAAAATGTCATATTATAAAAAAGAACAAAAAGCGATACTTATATTTTATTTTTTACTTTTATTTGTCACATCCTTTTACATTTATCAAATTAAATCTGTCAAATCTATCAATTATTTTTTGAGGATAATTTTATCATTCCTCTCATTTTATGTAACTTAAAATATAGTCAAACTTAGCTCTTAAAACTATATGCTTGGTTAAAATGAGACAAAATAATGGGATGGAAGGAATATCTCATATCTTTCACAAATATTTTATTTTCTATGATTTTAGAAGTTCAGACTATATTATTTATCATGACGATGTTATTTCAAAATATGAAAGTTATTGTTATTCATATTGCAATATTACATTCTATGCAAATATTAAATCAAATATGCTGTGAATGCAACATTACTGTTGTTTTACTCAAAACTTATAATTAAGCAAAGTCCAAAAAAATATAAATCAAATAGTAAAAATCTTCAAAATAATATACAACTCAATGTCCTATGCCACATACTGAAATGATAAAATAAATAGAGAAATAGTTTATCATAAAAGTATAAGTAAAATATTCTAGACTCTAAATAAGAAGTCTAGTAGGTTAAGAGAGACTGAAATGATAAAAAAAATATGAATGATTAAATTTAATGAATTATTTCAAATCAGGACCAAACTGATAGATTGTATAAGTTTTTTTATGATTAAAACTATTATCATATCATTATTCTTGTTTAATATTTAATAATCCATGAATTATTTGTAATAATATTTGAATTAAGTGACGTGTTTATAACTTAAAAAACCTTTTTATTAATAAATACATAATTAAGTGATTCGGAGTGTAGTTTACCGAATAAATAAGAGAGATCTGATTAAAAAACAAAATAGATCTCAACTCATAACATTTCAAACCGGAACTTGAATTCATATAGACTAATCGCAACCAAATTAAATTGAATCCTTAGATTTGATGTAAAGATTATGAAGTAGTTGCAACCAAATTATTATTGTTATTGTTTTGGATTTATGGAACTCGATTCAACGCCTAATGCCTATATCAAATTAAGTCTATGGATATTTTATGTTGTATTTTGGATTTATGGAAAGCTTAAATAGAGGATGATGCATCAAATGAAAACAACTCATTGAATAGGGATTAGTAATGAAATCGAAAAAATTGAGAAATCTATTTGAACTAAATTGAAATATTTAATTTCCTTTGTTCATTTCATTTCTTTTTCTTGGTCCTTAAACGTTTCTCTAACGCCCCTATCAAGCTGTCCTGCTTTGCTTTTTTTGGCTTTTGGCTTTCATTTTACTCTTCTGCTACTTGGAAAGAGACAGAGAGGAGGGAGAAATGGAAGGCTTAAACAATTATGGCCACCACCATCCTTTGGTACGCTTGAATGAAGAGCAGCTCGTCACCAATCAAAGTGGACTAGTAGCTGACTGCTCCAGGTGTGGGGAGAAGGTGTCTGCTCCATGTTTTCGCTGTGCCGAGGACTGTGGGTTTTACCTTCACAAGGTATGTGCCGACTCACCTTTGGAGATTAATCACCCTTTCCATCATAATCACCCTCTTCTTCTTATGCAAAATGCACCTTATCGACTTGGAGGGTGGGTTTGCCATTTTTGCGATAAAGAGGGTGAGAAGTTCGTTTATCATTGTTCTTGTGGGTCGGACTTTCATATTAAATGTGCTTTGTTTACATTTAATATTGCTCAAAATAATTTGGAAGAGCTTCAGCATGTTTCCCTTGAAGATCCTTTGATTTCCACTAAAAAGGATGATGAACAACTTGATGATGTTCCTAAGTGCTTTGGGTGTTGGGAACCATTAGCAAATTATACATACTTCTCTCCTGATTCTGGATTTAATTTACACCAGAAATGTGTTGAGCTTCCTCTTAAACTGAATCATCCGTGCCATCGCAAACATCCGCTCCTTTTGCAGTTTAATAGCGATCGGCTCGCTTGCAAGATATGTCAAGAAACCAGACGAAGAGGATTTGTTTATTGTTGTTCAACTTGTAAGTTTGCTATTCACATTGAATGTGTATCACCATCACCCATGGTTGAAGAAAAAAATCATCAACATCCATTTACCTTGTTTTGGAGAAGAGTTCCATTCATTTGTGATGCTTGTGGCACCGAGGGAAATCATGTTGCATATACATGTGGTACATGCGGCATTATACTCCAAAAAAGGTGCGTTTCATTACCACGCATCATCAAAAGCAAGTGGCATGATCATCGTCTATTTCACAAATATTTCCAGCACGAAGAAGATTTTAGAACTTCTGATTGTATAATATGCCATAAGGAGGTCAATGCAGAGCATGGAAGCTATTCTTGTTCAAAATGCAATGTGATATTTCATGTGAATTGCGTGATGGAAGATGAAGATTCTTATTTTATAGTAGAAAATGAAGACGATGAATCTTTTGATATATCTATTAGTTCCATAACTAATGTCCTTGAATGGAATGATGCCGGGGAAGCCACACTAATACAACATTTCAAGCATATTCACCACTTAACATTAAGTGACAGAGTAAGTGAGTATGAGAATAAATGTTGCGACGGATGCTTATTACCGATTTCAGCTTCATTTTACTATTGTTTACAGTGTGATTTTTTCCTTCATAAAGTTTGTGCTGAATTACCAAAGGTAAAGCATGTTTGGCATCATCCTTGCCAAGAACCATTACTCCTCACTTCAGGTGAAAATTTTGAATGTGTAAAATGTTGGCATTTCTCTAGTGGTTTTGCCTATAAGTGTGAAGGATGTGGTTACAATACCTGCTTCCGATGTGTTATTGCTCTTACACCTGGTGCTCGAACATGTCTAGGACATAATCACCCCCTTTTTTTCTATATCAACGGTGAAGGGCAATGCAATGTTTGTGGATTTGATAGAAGAGGGGTGTTCCTTTGCAAGGAGTGCAATTTTTGTTTAGGTTGTACATGTTTTTCACTGCCCGTTACAGTCGAGAACAAATGTGATCAACATCGTCTTTCTCTCACTCATCATGATAATAACAGTTATTCAGAAAGTCATTATTGTGATATTTGTGAAGAAAGTAGAGATCCAAAACTTTCACTTTATCATTGTGCAACCTGCGGTACTACAGCTCATGTCGATTGTGTTCTTGGGAAACATCCATTCATCAAACTAGGGAGTATTGTGGAAAACTTGGATGTTCATGAGCACCCTCTCACTTTTGTTAAGAAGATGTATTATTACCCAGATTGTGATAGATGTGGTGAGCCCTGTGTAGATTTGTCTGTCGAATGTAGAACGCCCGGATGCAACTATATTGTCCATTCTGAATGTATACGATTTCACTTGTTCAGAATCTTTAGATAGTGAGGACAGAGGTGTTGCTGGTTACTATAATTGGAAACTACCACTTCTCTTTGGGGGGGGGGGGGGGGGAGGAACACATGTATGTATGGTCCCAACTTCTATTTAAAGTTTAAATGTATGTCAACTATGTGTGTATTTTGATTATTTAAACTATAATATCTTGGTTTCTGTGCTTAGTTATCTTTTATTTCGATAAATAGATTAAGCCATAATGTTAGTTTTCCGAATTTAGTAATATGCTGATTTTGATTGAATATTATTCCCAAACTTTTTACTCTGTTGACCCAAAATATGCATGTGATTCTGAATTTCACCCCCCAAATTAAATCCACCAAACCCTAAGAAAATCTGTCTTTAAATTCCAATATTCACTGAACATTTGCTGTTTTCTTGCACCTGGTCGAAGATACCTGGTTTTGATTCAACATTTGTTTTTTTACATTTTAAATATTGTGAAGGTATGGATTAAATTGAACACAAGTTAAACTTTAGAGTTCAAATAATGAAGCTTAAGGAATTTAAGGACTAGTGGCAGAATTTTATCATTTTTTGAATGACCATGTTGACAAAGCTAAACGAAGATGTTGATGAACATATAAATAAACATGTTCGTGAACGTTAAATGAATACGTTCACGAACGCTAAACAAGCTGAACATAAAACACCTTCAAAAAGAAAGAAGCTAACACAATATTAAAATTTAAACGAACACATATCAAACAGAAATACCTTTAAAAATAAACAAAATAACTTAACACAATCTCACTCAAACCCGATTTTTTTATACCCTTATAATCACCCATCCAAAGAATTAAAGAGGGGCCTCTAATTGATTAAAAAAAGTCTACATGGCCTTTCTTGACACGCAGATAACACCAAACACACATTGAGCATCAATTTTCAGTGAAAGTTATAAATATATATCTTCCAAATGATTATGAAGAATCCCAATATTCTTTCTTCAAACACACATAATATATCTAGCACACATTGAGCATCCATTTTCATTCGTCTAATCCACAAAGCAAGGAATAGAGTGAATGAAGACTCTTTTAAAGAAATATTACTAAGATTGCTCACCAATCTCCCCTTTTCCAAATTTCTGCCTTTACTTTGGTTATTGGATTTCAATTTCTGTGTTACATCAGAGGGAGAAATGGAGGTGTCAAAGAACTATGGGCATCAAAATCCACTTGTGTTGTTGAATGAAGAGCAGCTCATCACCCATCAAAGTTGAGTAATAGCCGACTGCTCCAGGTATGGGGAAAAGGTGTCTGCTCCAAGCTTTCGCTGTGCCGAGGACTGCAATTTTTACGCTCTCAAGGTATGTGCCGACGCACCTTCTGAGCTTAATCATCCTTTGCATCAGCACCATCCTCTTGTTCTTATGCAAAGAACTCCATTTTCTTGCATTTGTGATTTCTTCTATAAAGTTGGTGAGAAGTTCATGTATCGCTGCTCCTCTTGCGATCTGGACTTTCATATTAAATGTGCTTTGTTTACATTTAATATTGCTCAAAATAGTTTGAAAGAGCTTGAGCATGTTGCCCTTGAAGCTCCTATGATTTCCACTAAAAAGGATTATGAACAACCTGAAGATGTTAATAAGTCCGTTGGGTGTCGGGAACCATTAGCAAACTATACATACTGTTCTCCTGATTTCGGATTCAGTCTGTACAAGCTTCCTCTCGAACTGAATCGTATGTGCCATCGCAAACATCCGCTTCTTTTACAATTTAGTAGCGGTCGGCTCTCTTGCAAGATATGTTCAGAAAGCTTAAATAGGGGGCTTGCTTATGATTTTTCACCTTGTAAGTTTGTCATCCCATCTTGTTCCTGTTATCAAAGATAAAGTCATGAACACTCATTCAGATTGTTTCCAAGACGAGCTCAGTTCATCTGTGATGCAAGTGGTACCGAAGGAACTTACTCTGCCTATATATGTTGTGAATGCAACATTATAGTCCATAAAAGTGTACCTCATTGCCAAGCATCATCAAGAGCAATTGGCATGATCATCGTATCTTTCACAAATAGTTCCTTCCGGGTGACTTTAGAAGCCCAGACTATATTATTTGTCACGACGATGTCCGTCCAGAGCACGGGAGTTACTGTTGTTCATATTGCAATGTTACACTCAATGTTCGTTGTGTGACAAAAGAAGCTAGTTCATATTCTATAGTTTCACCCGATGCAGATGAGGTATACGATGAAGGTTCCATCACTCGTGTTTTGGAGAGGAATGTTGCTGAAGAAGCCATCACTCGTGTTTTGGAGAGGAATCATGCTGGAGAAGCTACAAAAATAAGACATTTCAAGCATACACATATTCTTCTGTTAAGTTCTTTCGTTGGAGGGAACAAAAACAGTTGCGATGGTTGTATGTTACCAATCTCGGATTCATTCTACTTCTGTTCACATTGCGGTTTTCTTCTTCATAAAGCTTGTGCTGAATTACCTCAGATGAAGCACGTTTGGCATCACTATTGCCAGCAACCTCTCCGTCCTATTTCAGATGAAGCTTTTAGGTGTGTGATATGCCGACACGTGTCTAACGCCTTCGCTTATGAATGTTGTGGATGTAAGGAAACGACATGCCTCCAATTTGTGATTGCTCTTAAACCTGGTGTTCAAACATGTTCGAAACATGAACACCCCCTCTTTTTCTACCGAAATCGTGAAGGGCAATGCAATGCTTGTGGCAATTAAATATTGGCTATATTCGGTTGCAAGGATTGTGATTTTGTGCTAGACCATGTATGTTTTTCTCTTCCAATCATAGTCCGTCACAAATATGATGAACATCTTCTCAGACTCATCTATCATGATGATAACAGTTATTCAGAAAATCATTACCGTGACATCTGTGAAGTAAATCGAGATCCAAATAGTTGGTTTTATCATTGTGCAACATGTGATACTTCTGCTCATATCAATTGTGTTCTTGGAAAATATCCATTCATCAAACTCGGGAGCATCTACGAAGACGAGGATCATCCACACCATCTCACCTTTGTCAAAAAGAGCTACTACTACCCTGATTGTTATCAACGTGGTAAGCCCCGTGAAGATTTAGCTCTTGAATGCACAGATTATGGGTGCAACTACATTGTTCACTGGATGACGATGGGGGTGGTGATTATTCAGAACTAATCACCTGAAAACTGAAGAGTGGAAAACAGAGTGTGGTCCTTGTGTTGGTAGCTTCATTTGTCATTGTAATTTGGTGTTTCCAACTCTCAAGTCTAAATTAAATGTATTTGCTGTATTAATTTGTCATTTGAATTTGGTTTTTTCAACATTTAAGTTCCAAATAGGTTTTCGTTATGTATTTGTTGTTGGATACATGTGATGTTTAGCAGAAGATAAGTGTGAGCTGTCTTTCACAACTTGTTCTTTTTGGTTCGTTCTTTTACAATTTTCAAGTGCTGATTACACTGCTTTGGTTATTTTTTTATTTGAGAAGGAAATGATAAATTTTTTATGTTTAAGTTTCAATAAGTAAATATTTTTAAATTATATCTTTTTTTATTGTATATAAGTACTCTACTTTATAAATGAATTGTTTAATACGACAAATTATAAAATTTATTGAATAATTGAAGAAAATGTTAAAATATGATAATCATCGTTGTCACTTATTTTAAAGAGAAAATCGCCTCAGTGACCAAAAATCCCTTATAATATACGATTTTAACCAACTTTTTTTGGATTTGCCAAAATGACCAACAAAATCGCAATGCGAAATAAAAATCGCAACGCGATCTCCAGAATCGCAAATCAGTTCCCAGAATCGCAACACAATTATGAAGAATCGCAATGCGATAGTAAAAATTCGCATTACGATTTTCCAGAATCGCAACGCGAATATGAAAATCGCAACGCGAACATATAAATCGCAACGCGATTCTGACTATCGCAACGAGTATCCGTAAAATCGCAACGCGTATCCGTAAATCGCAACGACAATACGTAAATCGCAACGCGTATCCGTAAATCGCAACGAGAATACGTAAATCGCAACACGTATCTGTAAATCGCAACGAGAATACGTAAATCGCAATGCGTATCCGTAAATCGCAACGACAATACGTAAAATCGCAACGCGTATCCGTAAATCGCAACGCGATCGATAATTCGCAACGCGATCTCCGGTATCGCAAATCAGTTTCCAGATTCGCAACGCGATTCTGACTATCGCATTGCGATTTCCCAAATTCGCGTTGCGATTTTCCTAATTCGCAATGCGAATACGTAAATCGCAACGCGATTACGTAAATCGCAATGCGAATACGTAAATTGTAATGCGAATACGTAAATCGCAATGCGAATCTGTAAATCGCAACGAGATTCTGACTATCGCAATACTGAATTTCAAATTCGCAACTCGATTTCTGAATTCGCAACAAGTTTTAATTTCGCAACACAAATGTTTTGGGTATATAACTACGCAACAACAACAACTCATAACCTAAATCCCTAAATCGCAACTCATTCCATCTCCATCTATCACTCTCTCCGGCGACATCCGTTCCTATATCAACGACATCCTTCCCCATCCGGCAACAAGTTTTAGTTTCGCAGCTCGTTTGTTTAGTAAATTAATTTACAATAATGAAATCATCTAATGTTGATCATGTTTGGATAGATTTGTGTTTTGGAGGGTCATGGGAGAATGTTCATGGTGTTTTACAATATATGCCTTTACCCATGAATCTTCAACTAAAACTGTCATTAAAAAAGTTAACTTATGAAACTCTAATGTTACGTGTTGCAAATAAATTGAATTTAGAGCCCCTAAGTGGATTTAGGCTATCTTATCAGAGAAATGGTAAAGTTTATTTGTTAACCGACAATGAAGATGTTGAACGATTCATTGCTTACATTAGTGTTTCAAGTGATGATGTTACATTGTATGTTGTTGAACCTAAAAGTAGTGAAGTTGGGTCAGTAGCGGGTAGTTATCAACTAAGTTTTTCAACCCCAGTTTATGGTGCTCAAAATTTAATGGTTCCACCACAATTTCATCACCAAGCAAATATTGTTTCACCACATTTCCAATACCAAACACAATCTCAAAACCCACAACCTTTCCCTAATTCAAATCCCAATCAACTTTCAGCACCAAATTCCGGTTTTCGTATTGACCAGTTAGACGATGATGAGCCAACAGAAAAAATTGTGAGTACTAGTCAGTATTCGAAATTTGATCTTGGTCAATACCCGGACTTTGATCTTGGTCAATACTCGGATTTTGATGATTTTTCAGAAGAAGAAACAGACCCTGCGTGTAATGATTTTGATATTGGTCAATACCCGAATTTTGATGATGAAACAGCCGTTGCCGAGGAAGATGTTGTTGATGATAATGAGGAGGAAGTTATGACTGTAAATGAACATGTTGAACAACCATTCTGTAATTCATATAACACTGAAGAAGAAAAAGAAGAAGAAGAAATCCCCAAAGAAAAGTCCCCGAAGAAAATGCCACGGGAGTATAACTGGAATATGCCAGAATTATTTCAGATACCAGAAGAAGAGTTGGTAAAGATAGCAGTTGATTGTTACACAAAAATTATTCGTATCAAGAAAGATGATTGTTTTGATACAAAGGAAGACTTGAAGATAGCTTTGTATACGAAATGTGTGGAAGATGGCTATCAACTAAAAGTTAACAAATCAAGCAAAGATCGTTTCGAAACAAGGTGTATGATTGACAAAAACTATATGTGGCGTATGATTGCAAAGAGGATAAAAGATTGCGAAATGTTTCAAGTTAGGACTTTTATTGATAAACATACATGTTCAAGAACCCAAGTTTTTCCTCACCATAGACAGGCAAACAAAAAGTTGTTGGGTGGTTTTCTGGCTGAGTTAATGTTTTTGAATGGTAGGGTATATCGGGGACATGAAATTATGACTGACATGAATGCTCGGTTCAAGATTAGTATCTCATATTCTCAAGCTTGGAGAGCCAAATGTTATACCTTGGAATTGTTGAGGGGGTCGCCAGAAGCATCGTTTGCCCAATTGCCGGCTTATTGTCACAATTTAAAGCTGAAAAATCCTGGGTCGGTAACTCATATCAAAACAGATAGAGATAGACGCTTTGAGTTGCTGTTTATCGCCATTGGTGCTGCGGTTAGTAAATCAATATAATTTTGTTGACTCATTTTTGTTAGTTACATGCATTTCACATTTAAATGATTATATTTCTTGTGTATATGATTTTGTAGATTCGTTCGTTTATTAATTGCATGCGCCCAGTTATTATAGTTGACGGAGCACATTTAAAAGGTCGATACCTTGGAGTAAACTTATTAGCAGTAGCCATGGATGCTAACAATGGGATATTGCCAATAGCTTATGGGGTTGGCAAATCTGAAACCTCTGATTCATGGACATGGTTTATGGGGCATCTTAGGGATTGCATAGGTTCTATTAGCAATCTGAAAATCATATCCGATAGGGCAAACTCAATTTACAACGCTGTTAGAAGGTGTTTCCTAGATGCTTTTCATGGACTTTGTGGTGTTCATTTGTATAGAAATCTAAAATTAAGGTCTGCTGGTATAAAAAATCACAAATGGACATACTGGAAGGCTGTAAAAGCTTATCGGGAAGTGGATTTTAATAAGCATATAAACTGTTTAAGACGTGTTTTTCCTCAGTGTGCTCAAACACTAGAAGATGTCGGGTTTGAAAGATGGTCAAGAGTACATCAACTTGGAGCAAGATATGGTTTCATGACGTCTAATAGTGCAGAATCAATCAACGCTCTAAGTCGTCATTCCCGGAAATTACCCATTACTATGTTAATGGAGTTTTTTCGAGCCTCTATTCAATAGTGGTACTACAAGAAAAGAAACCATGCATGTATTATTTCTTTAAATTCGTAACTTATCATATATTTTACTAAGTATTATTTATTTAAATTTACAGGAACATTGGAACATCGTGTTACACCATGGACAGAAAAAAAGATAACGAAACATGTTGTGAAGTCAACGTAATGGAGAGTTGAACTGTAACACCCCCCAACCCGTACCCGACCTGGATTCGAGTCTGAGGTTTCACATTGACTTTTCAAAACATTTACTTGTATAAAATAGTGAGTAATTTAAAACTTTTATACATGTAGCTTATTCAAAAGATTTCCAGAACTATTCAGAGCTTAAATGTTTTTGCAAAACCGTTTAGTGCATATACAATTCAGACATTTATTTACATGCCAACCATTTCCAATGTACAGTATACATCTAATTCAAAACATTTTTTCTGATCTGATCTTCGGTAAGAAGTAACTGACCTGTCTTGCTCCACATTGCTCTCTATATTCTTCTTGAACCTACGTGTGAAACAATCACACGCTAAGTCGATGACTTAGTGAGGCAAATAAAACATATAATAGAAATCATAAAACATCCCATATAACAAAACACATGAACATTTAATACTAACTTATCATACAAAATCATATACCATTTTATATAACAAAGACACTCATGTACATATATCATCATCTACTTTCTTAGCATTATCATATATATTATTATCATTATCTCTATCATTATCATCGAATTATTTATCACATAATCTTGTACTTATCATTTCTGTATATCATATCACTCATATATCATTTCACCAAAAGCATATACATTATATATATTGTATTTATGTTATCTCTTTGATTAGCCCATGGTACACTTGTGAGAACTATCGATATGTGAGTCTATAGAGGTTGTGCACTAATGCTGTCACCACAGCTCGTATCATTGCACCGAAGTGCACGTAGAATTGCACCGTAGTGCCATATAATAATGTCCATAAGGACCACATACATTCCTTAAGGACTACATATCATTCCTTAAGGACCACATATCATTCCTTAAGAATCATATACATATACCAGGGATCAAGTATGTGTCTCACAAGACTTCACACATGTTCCAAAGAATATATATATCCCGAAGGACCACGTAGACCCTCGACTCTTGGCATGCCAACTATACCCCTAGCTCTCATGACACATAACATGGGCATTATCATTTATTTCATTTCAAATATTCACATAAACATGTAATTCACTTTCACATATCACGTATCACATAGCTTCTTTTCATATTATCACATAGTTCACTTACACGTAGATC